TGGTCAGTTGTGGAGAACAAGGTTCGGGCTCTATTACCACCTCTGGTATTTGGAAGAACCGGACCTCAATACCACAGGGCCACTATGGTCAGTTGTGGAGAACAAGGTTCGGGCTCTTTTACCGCCTCCGGTATCTGCAAGAACTGGACCGCAATACCACAGAGCCACTATGGTCAATTGTGGAGAACAAGGTTCGGGCTCTATTACCGCCTCCGGTATTTGGAAGAACCGGACCTCAATATCACAGAGCCACTATGGTGAGTTGTGGAGAACAAGGTTCGGGCTCTTTTACCGCCCCCGGTATCTACAAGAACTGGACCTTAGTACCACAGAGCCACTATGGTCAGTTGTGGAGAACAAGGTTCGGGCTCTTTTACCGCCTCCGGTATCTACAAGAACTGGACCTCAGTACCACAGAGCCACTATGGTCAGTTGTGGAGAACAAGGTTCGGGCTCTTTTACCGCCTCCGGTATCTACAAGAACTGGACCGATTATTCCATGAACAGCGATATCAGTTCCATTGTCCACCATCCACGTCTTCTATTTGTCAATTCCCAGGAGAATTCAGGCCGTCGTGGAGGCTAAAGGCGGCCCAACACCATACTGGGTAACGATTTCATTCTCTTACCTGGTGTTTCCATCATGTTGTTTGGAAAGTTCAAAGCTAATCTCAAAGAATTATTTTGCTGAAAGAGTAGTTGATGCTCGGAATAGACTTCCAGCTGAAGTAATGAGCCAGTCAACTGAATATTATATAACAGACCTGCGCTTGGGTGGTGAGGACCAAAAAAAAAAAGAAGCAGCGAACACAAACCAATAGGCAAACCATGAAAATGTGTAAAATTAGCAGTGTGGCGCTTAATTGTTGATACGTGTGATTATTATTAACCGCTTCCCGACCGCCGTATAGCAGATATACTGCTACAGGGCGGCGGGTGCGCAAAATCGCATATATATATATATATATATATATATATATATATATATATATATATATATATATATATATATATATATGATTTCCCATTTCCGGGTAGGGGACGCGCGCCTTACTGGGCGTGGCTGTCAAATGCCAGATCCTCCTCCCTGTCGGCTCGGGCACACTGCACAGCCATCCAGAGCAGTGTGATTACAGTGAAGCACACACCCCCCCTAGTAAAACACTCCCAGCACACAGTTAACCCTTTGATCGCCCCTCATGTTAACCACTTCCTGCCCAGTGCCATTAGTACAGTGTCAGTGCTTTTTTTTTTTTTTTTTTTTTTTTTTTTTTTTTTTTTATTTTTAGCACTGATCCACTGTATTGGTGTCACTGGGGATGTCAGTGGCGCCAAGTCAGTTCCCAACACCCCCCCCCCCCCCCCTTGCCCCGTGTCAGAATGTCCGCCGCAGTCACGCTATAAGTCACTGATCGCCACCATTACTAGTAAAGAAAAAAAAAATTTCCAGTATCTATACCGCCATTTGTAAACACTATAACTTTCATGTAAACCAATTAATTTACACGTATTGGGATATATTTTTTTTTTAGCAAAGACATGGAGCCAATGGCCACTATTCTGTACTCATCCCGACCAGTGGCCTCTACTCCGTACTCATCCCAATCAATGGTCGCTACTCTGTACTCATTCCAACCAATGGTCGCTACTCCGTACTCATCCCAACCAATGGCCTCTACTCTCTACTCATCCCAACCAATGGCCTCTACTCCGTACTCATCCCAACCAATGGCCTCTACTCTCTACTCATCCCAACCAATGGCCTCTACTCCGTACTCATCCCAACCAATGGTCACTACTCTGTACTCATCCCAACCAATGGCCTCTACTCCCTGCTCATCCCAACCAATGGCCTCTACTCCCTGCTCATCCCGACCAATGGCCTCTACTTCGTACTCATCCCGACCAATGGCCTCTACTTCGTACTCATCCCGACCAATGGCCTCTACTCCGTACTCATCCCGACCAATGGCCTCTACTCCGTACTCATCCCGACCAATGGCCTCTACTCCGTACTCATCCCGACCAATGGCCTCTACTCCGTACTCATCCCGACCAATGGCCTCTACTCCGTACTCATCCCGACCAATGGCCTCTACTCCGTACTCATCCCGACCAATGGCCTCTACTCCGTACTCATCCCAACTAACGGCCACTACTCCGTACTCATGCCAACCAATGGTCACTACTCCGTACTCATCCCAACCAATGGCCTCTGCTCCGTACTCATCCCAACCAATGGCTGTGATAATTGTGCGCACAGATATGGACAATGACAACCATATTTTGTATCAGACTCTGCAAATATCATTCTCTCTTCCTCCAGTCCCCCTCCCCTTGCAGGAATGTGGTCTGCATGTGTGCTGAGTTCACAAGTGCATAGGGAACAGCTAATGGGCTTCATGGTTGTAACCCCAATTAGCCTGGTTCCAGGATGTCTGATACACCCTTTCATCTGGCCGGGTTGTAAAACTATAACTCAGTCCTTCACTTGACATGAAATCTTATCTCAGAGTGGCTGTAAAAAACGTACCATCCCACTTGAATCACTTTTTCATACAAATTCATAAATCCCGACAGGAACAATGTACATTAAAACAAAGCATAGATTCAGATATGTCATTTTAATACAAGTCACCTGATACCTTACACCCCTAGGTAATGTCTACCTGAGAGTAGAAAGCGATATCTTGTTATCCGTCACAGCCGGATATGTCATATTTGATGTCTGGACGTTCAGAATATGATTCTGCATATTAATCTGCCAGTGGCTAAGATGCTACATGTACCTAGTGAAGGTTATTGACCATGGTATAAACTTGCGAGGGATTTAGGTCACAGCCTGGGTCTACGCCTAACACCCCTCCCCAAATGAGGCGATTGGCCCTCATTTGGTATACACCCCCTGCTGGGACACTAGAAAAAGCTGTCATGCCTGAAGAAAGTTATGAAGAGATTCTCCCTTTTAACATCAGGAATCATCTTTGGGAGAAAAGGCACCCTTTTGTTCAGGACACTTGAACTCTGCTTAAACCAGGACGTCTGCAGGTATCCTACCTTCTGAAACTTCTTTCTTCATCTCTCTGTTATGTTATTGCTCTTTCTATATATATATATATTGGTTACATATTTTCTGTAAATATCTTTATTGCACCATTTTGACCTTTTTAGTAATAAATCCTATTTTCTGAAAAGTGTTGAACTGTTTCTAACGCTCTTTAATGCAAATTAAGAATCCCTGTCTCTGAGGAGTGCTACTGTGTGTTTTAAAACCTCTGCTTACATCTGTCTGCGGTGACAGTGTGTATACAGACGCTTATTCAGACATCATAGTGTTACTGCTAAGATTTGTGAGTTTCTTCCTTCTCTGTAAAAAGGAGGTGGTGGCAGTGTGGAGGGTTAATTGCGTAATTAACCTGACCCAGTAACAATCGCTCTCAGGCTGCTGGCACATAGATTGTGGTCCAGTGAGCTGGAAAATCTTTGTGCAGGGTGCAGCTGAGAGTGCGTTGTTACGCAAGCGGCAGCACGGTTTTAGATTGGCTGGTCCTTAGGTCACAAGTGGGTGAGGAGGGCTGGGGGTTTGACGCCGCGCCCATCACAATGGCTACTACTCCGTACTCATCCCAACCAATGGCCACTACTCCGTACTCCTCCCAGCCAATGGCCTCTACTCCGTACTCCTCCCAACCAATGGCTACTACTCCGCACTCATCCCAACCAATGGCCTCTACTCCGTACTAATCCCAACCAATGGCCATTAATCCGTACTCATCCCAACCAATGGCCACTACTCCGTACTCATCCCAACCAATGGTCACTACTCCGTACTCATTCCAACCAATGGCCACTACTCCGTACTCCTCCCAACCAATGGCCACTACTCCGTACTCCTCCCAACCAATGGCCACTACTCCGTACTCATCCCGACCAATGGCCACTACTCCGTACTCATCCCGACCAATGGCCACTACTCCGTACTCATCCCGACCAATGGCCTCTACTCCGTACTCATCCCAACCAATGGTCACTACTCCATACTCATCCCAACCAATGGCCTTTACTCCGTACTCCTAACCAATGGCCTACATTCAGTGTCCTCCATCCATCTCTGCCAATCCCTCCACTGGCCTCCATTCAGTGTCCTCCATCCCTCTCTGCCAATCCCTCCACTGGCCTCCATTCAGTGTCCTCCATCCCTCTCTGCCATAGATATAGAGTAGTATAGCAAGGATACAATATAGGTTGAGATATAATATGGAATAGTATGGGAAGGATAGGATATAGACTGGGATATGATATGGGATAGTATGGGAAGGATAGGATATAGGTTGGGATATGATATGGAATAGTATAGGTAGGATAGGATATAGGTTGGGATAAGATACAGAACAGTATAGGATATACAGTAGGTTGGGATAGGACATAGAGTAGTATAGGAAGGATAGGAGATAGGTTGGGATAGGATATAGAATAGTATAGGAAGGATAGGATATGCAGTTGGTTGGGATAGGATATAGAATAGTATAGGAAGGATAGGATATGCAGTTGGTTGGGATAGGATATAGAATAGTATAGGAAGGATAGGATATGCAGTAGGTTGGGATAGAATATAGAATAGTATAGGAAGGATATGCATTAGGTTGGGATAGGATATAGAATAGTATAGGATATGCAGTAGGTTGGGACAGGATATAGAATAGTATAGGAAGGATAGTCTTAACACAATGCTTTTTTTACTCACAATCTATATTTTCATACAATGGTGGATATCAAGTGACATAAAGAAATGAGACGACGGTCTTGTCATGCTGGAAGACAATGGCGGGTGTTCCTCCAGCAGTGAGAGCCGAAATGTGCCCAACCCTCCGCCATACATCCCCCCCCCCCGATGTGACCCCTCAGTGACAGTTCCCAGAGTCCTGTTGTTTTCATTCTTTATTTCTCTCCTTTAGGTGACATTTCACAGAGAACATTCAATACAATTCATTTCTCTTCTCATTGAGGGACGGCCAGCTCTTTTCTGCTCGGTAAAGATCCAATGGGGTTGTTAGAACCTGGAAGGCGGGGTATGCCGGGGGTCTTCCGGGTCGTCTACCAGGGCGTCTCATCCTTGAAATCTGAAGGAAAAAGTGAGAATTCCCAATAATTCCATTAGAATACTGATTTACATTCAGGGGAGGGGCGCAGAAAACGTCATCACCCTGCCGAAGGACTGCTGAGATAAAACCAATGACACGGAGGAGACGGGGAGACCACCGTGACCTGCACTTCTGAGCAGTAAAGTATTCAGACCCTTTGGCAAGAGCCTTGAAATTTATCTCAGGTGCGATGTTTCTACATTGTGATTAGAACCCGCCTGTGCTACATTACATCGATTGGCCGTGATTTGGAAAAGCCACACCCCTCTCAGCTGACAATGCCTCCTGTATCAGAGCAAAAGCCATGAGGTCAAAGGAACTGCCAGCAGAGCTCAGAGACAGGATTCTCACAAGGCGCAGATCTGGGGTGGCGACAATAAAACTTTCTGCTCCATTCACACTGAGCGGTGGAAGGCTGCAGCATTGGCAGTCCTTCTGGGACTTTGTTCCATCTCCACGCAGGATCTCTGGAGATTGGGTTCTTGGTCACCTCTCGTACTAAGGCCCTTCTCCCATGATTGGTCAGTTTGGCCGGACGACCAGCTCTTGGAAGAGTCCTGGTTGTGCAAATTATGGAATTATGGAGGCCGATGTGCTCTTGAGAACCTTCAGACTCCATTCACTCTAGGGCCTGACGTTCAGAATCGTGTGAATGGAGCCTCAAGGTTTAGAATTGAGGCCAAACAGTTCAACCTTGGTTTCATCAGACCAGAGAATCTTGTTCCTCACAGCCTGAGAGTCCTTCAGGTGCTTTTGTGCAAACTCCAAGTGGGCTTTCATGTGTTTTGCACTGAGGAGAGGCTTCCGTCCAGCCACTCTGCCATAAAGCCCAGATCGGTGGAATGCTGCAGTATTGGCAGTCCTTCTGGAACTTCGTTCCATCGCCATGCAGGATCTCTGGAGATTGGGATCTTGGTCATCTCTCGTATTAAGGCCCTTCTCCCATGATTGGTCAGTTTGGCCGGACGACCAGCTCTTGGAAGAGTCCTGGTTATACCCATTATGGAGGCCATTATGGAAATATGGAGGCCGCTGTGCTCTTGGGAACCTTGAGGCTCCATTCACATGTTTCTGAGCGTCAGGCCCTAGTCTGGAGCTTGAAGGTTCACAAGAGCACAGCGGCCTCCATAATTCGCACAACCAGGACTCTTCCAAGAGCTGGTCGCCTGGCCAAACTGACCAATCGTGGGAGAAAAGGCCTTAGTATGAGAGGTGACCAAGAACCCAATCTCCAGATATCCTGTGCAGAGATGGAACAAAGTTCCAGAAGGACTGCCATCACTGCAGCCCTTCACCGATCTGGGTTTTATGGCAGAGTGGCTGGACGGAAGCCTCTCCTCCATGCAAAACACATGAAAGCCAACTTGGAGTTTGCACAAAAGCACCAGAAGGACTCTCAGGCTGTGAGGAACAAGATTCTCTGGTCTGATGAAACCATGCTTGAACTGTTGGGCTTCAATTCTAAATGTTATGTCTGGAGGAAACCAGGCACCACCCATCATCTGCCTAATACAATCCCAACAGTGAAGCATGGTGGTGGCAGCATCATACTGTGGGGGTGTTTTTCAGCAGCAGGGACTGGGAGACTGTTCAGGGTTGAGGGAAAGTTGAATGGAGCAAAGTACTGAGATATCCTCAATGGAAACCTCAGGACCTCAGACTGGGCCGAAGGTTCACCTTCCAACATGACAACCATCCCGAGCACACAGCCAAGACAATACAGGAGAGGCAGAGGGCCAACTCTGTGAATGTCCTGGAGTGGCCTAGCCAGAGCCTTTTGAACCCTATTGAACATCTTTGGAGAAACCTGAAAATGGCCGTCCACCGATGACCCCCATCCAACCTGACTGAGCAAAGAAGTATAGCAGAAAAAATCCCCCAATCCAGGTGTGGAAAGCTTGTGGTGTCATCCCAGAAAGACTCGAGGCTGAAATTGGTGCCACAGGGGCTTCAACAGAGTACTGTAGAGGAAGGAGCAGAGTCCTCCAGCAGTGCAGAGTATATCAGGAGAGGAGAGTTATAGAGGAAGGAGAGGAGTCCTCCAGCAGTGCAGAGTATTTCAGGAGAGGAGTTATAGAGGAAGGAGAGGAGTCCTCCAGCAGTGCAGAGTATTTCAGGAGAGGAGAGTTATAGAGGAAGGAGCGGAGTCCTCCAGCAGTGCAGAGTATTTCAGGAGAGGAGTTATAGAGGAAGGAGAGGAGTCCTCCAGCAGCGCAGAGTATTTCAGGAGAGGAGTTATAGAGGAAGGAGCGGAGTCCTCGAGCAGTGCAGAGTATTTCAGGAGAGGAGAGTTATAGAGGAAGGAGCGGAGTCCTCCAGCAGTGCAGAGTATTTCAGGAGAGGAGTTATAGAGGAAGGAGCGGAGTCCTCCAGCAGTGCAGAGTATTTCAGGAGAGGAGTTATAGAGGATGGAGAGGAGTCCTCCAGCAGCGCAGAGTATTTCAGGAGAGGAGAGTTATAGAGGAAGGAGCGGAGTCCTCCAGCAGTGCAGAGTATTTCAGGAGAGGAGAGTTATAGAGGAAGGAGCGGAGTCCTCCAGCAGTGCAGAGTATTTCAGGAGAGGAGTTATAGAGGAAGGAGAGGAGTCCTCCAGCAGCGCAGAGTATTTCAGGAGAGGAGTTATAGAGGAAGGAGAGGAGTCCTCCAGCAGCGCAGAGTATTTCAGGAGAGGAGAGTTATAGAGGAAGGAGAGGAGTCCTCCAGCAGCGCAGAGTATTTCAGGAGAGGAGTTATAGAGGAAGGAGAGGAGTCCTCCGGCAGCGCAGAGTATTTCAGGAGAGGAGTTATAGAGGAAGGAGAGGAGTCCTCCGGCAGTGCAGAGTATTTCAGGAGAGGAGAGTTATAGAGGAAGGAGAGGAGTCCTCCAGCAGCGCAGAGTATTTCAGGAGAGGAGTTATAGAGGAAGGAGAGGAGTCCTCCAGCAGTGCAGAGTATTTCAGGAGAGGAGTTATAGAGGAAGGAGCGGAGTCCTCCAGCAGTGCAGAGTATTTCAGGAGAGGAGTTATAGAGGAAGGAGCGGAGTCCTCCAGCAGCGCAGAGTATTTCAGGAGAGGAGAGTTATAGAGGAAGGAGCGGAGTCCTCCAGCAGTGCAGAGTATTTCAGGAGAGGAGTTATAGAGGAAGGAGAGGAGTCCTCCAGCAGCGCAGAGTATTTCAGGAGAGGAGTTATAGAGGAAGGAGCGGAGTCCTCCAGCAGCGCAGAGTATTTCAGGAGAGGAGAGTTACAGAGGAAGGAGCGGAGTCCTCCAGCAGAGCAGAGTATTTCAGGAGAGGAGAGTTATAGAGGAAGGAGAGGAGTCCTCCAGCAGAGCAGAGTATTTCAGGAGAGGAGAGTTATAGAGGAAGGAGAGGAGTCCTCCAGCAGTGCAGAGTATTTCAGGAGAGGAGTTATAGAGGAAGGAGAGGAGTCCTCCAGCAGTGCAGAGTATTTCAGGAGAGGAGAGTTACAGAGGAAGGAGCGGAGTCCTCCAGCAGAGCAGAGTATTTCAGGAGAGGAGAGTTATAGAGGAAGGAGAGGAGTCCTCCAGCAGTGCAGAGTATTTCAGAGAGAGGAGTTATAGAGGAAGGAGAGGAGTCCTCCAGCAGTGCAGAGTATTTCAGGAGAGGAGAGTTACAGAGGAAGGAGCGGAGTCCTCCAGCAGCGCAGAGTATTTCAGGAGAGGAGAGTTATAGAGGAAGGAGAGGAGTCCTCCAGCAGTGCAGAGTATTTCAGGAGAGGAGAGTTATAGAGGAAGGAGCGGAGTCCTCCAGCAGTGCAGAGTATTTCAGGAGAGGAGTTATAGAGGAAGGAGCGGAGTCCTCCAGCAGCGCAGAGTATTTCAGGAGAGGAGAGTTATAGAGGAAGGAGCGGAGTCCTCCAGCAGTGCAGAGTATTTCAGGAGAGGAGTTATAGAGGAAGGAGCGGAGTCCTCCAGCAGCGCAGAGTATTTCAGGAGAGGAGAGTTATAGAGGAAGGAGCGGAGTCCTCCAGCAGTGCAGAGTATTTCAGGAGAAGAGAGTTATAGAGGAAGGAGCGGAGTCCTCCAGCAGTGCAGAGTATTTCAGGAGAGGAGTTATAGAGGAAGGAGAGGAGTCCTCCAGCAGTGCAGAGTATTTCAGGAGAAGAGAGTTATAGAGGAAGGAGAGGAGTCCTCCAGCAGTGCAGAGTATTTCAGGAGAGGAGTTATAGAGGAAGGAGCGGAGTCCTCCAGCAGCGCAGAGTATTTCAGGAGAGGAGTTATAGAGGAAGGAGCGGAGTCCTCCAGCAGCGCAGAGTATTTCAGGAGAGGAGAGTTACAGAGGAAGGAGCGGAGTCCTCCAGCAGTGCAGAGTATTTCAGGAGAGGAGTTATAGAGGAAGGAGCGGAGTCCTCCAGCAACGCAGAGTATTTCAGGAGAGGAGAGTTACAGAGGAAGGAGCGGAGTCCTCCAGCAGCGCAGAGTATTTCAGGAGAGGAGAGTTACAGAGGAAGGAGCGGAGTCCTCCAGCAGAGCAGAGTATTTCAGGAGAGGAGAGTTACAGAGGAAGGAGCGGAGTCCTCCAGCAGAGCAGAGTATTTCAGGAGAGGAGAGTTACAGAGGAAGGAGCGGAGTCCTCCAGCAGCGGGTGAGGATGGATTTCGTCGGTCACTCACCCTGGTTATGTTGTCACACTGCAGGTTCTCTTTGCCGGTTGCTCTCAGGTTCAGATCACAGATTTTAACTTCCTGTGTATGCAGATAAAACAGCTGAATGTCTCTCTTCTCCCAATACACTCATCTCCTAATACAGACATTGAATATTCTGCTTTCTGTGCCCCTCCCAGACCATTGGAAATCAGTTGCACTGCGACTGCACCTCTGGCCCCCTTTACATTACACAGCCCCCTGTACCTCTGGCCCCCTTTACATTACACAGCCTCCTGCACATCTGGCCCCCTTTACATTACCCAGCCCCCCGTACCTCTGGCCCCCTTTACATTACCCAGCCCCCTGTACCTCTGGCCCCCTTTACATTACACAGCCCCCTGTACCTCTGGCCCCATTTGCGTTACACAGGCTCCTGCACCTCTGGCCCCTTTACATTACAAAGCCTCCTGCACCTCTGGCCCCCTTTACATTACACAGCCTCCTGCACCTCTGGCCCCCTTTACATTACACAGCCTCCTGCACCTCTGGCCCCCTTTACATTACACAGCCTCCTGCACCTCTGGCCCCCTTTACATTACACAGCCTCCTGCACCTCTGCCCTTCTTACTGGGGCATGCAGGGCTGGGCACAGCAGCACTGCACAGAAGGATGGAGCTGCTGGATTTAATTTTTCATATTAACAAACTGGCGATTGGTTGCTAGGACCACCCAGTGACCAATCACCTGCAGGTTAACTCTGGCAGCTCCCGCCCTCGTTTCAGCGGTGCTGTGCCCCCCTCTCTGCATGTACAGACGTGTTCTCATTCTGCCTCCGGCTCTCCGCTCTACTGTGTTAGTGACAGCGGCGGAGGGAATCCGGTGACCAGTCCTGGGTGTCACCCCTCTGATGGGTGTCACCTGGATGTGTTCCGCACCCCCCGCACCGTCCCCCGCACTGCCCTCCCAGGAAACTTCGGTAGATAAAATATGAAAAAAAATCAACTTTATGCTACTTTCATCAGGGTTAGTCTTAACCTCTTGCCGAACATGTAACACGTATGTGCAGCGGTGGGATGGCTGGTCGTTAATGATGTAACACGTATGTGCAGCGGCGGGACGGGTGATCGTTAGTGATGTAACACGTATGTGCAGCGGCGGGACGGATGGTCGTTAATGATGTAACACGTATGTGCAGCGGCGGGACGGGTGGTCGTTAGTGATGTAACACGTATGTGCAGCGGCGGGACGGGTGGTCGTTAATGATGTTGCATGTATGTGCAGCGGCGGGACAGGTGATCGTTAATGATGTAACACGTATGTGCAGCGGTGGGATGGCTGGTCGTTAATGATGTAACACGTATGTGCAGCGGCAGGATGGGTGATCGTTAATGATGTAACACGTATGTGCAGCGGCAGGACGGGTGATCGTTAATGATGTAACACGTATGTGCAGCAGCGGGACGGGTGGTCGTTAGTGATGTAACACGTATGTGCAGCGGCAGGACGGGTGATCGTTAATGATGTAACACGTATGTGCAGCAGCGGGACGGGTGGTCGTTAGTGATGTAACACGTATGTGCAGCGGCGGGACGGGTGGTCGTTAGTGATGTAACACGTATGTGCAGCGGCGGGACGGGTGGTCGTCAGTGATGTAACACGTATGTGCAGCGGCGGGACGGGTGGTCGTTAATGATGTTGCATGTATGTGCAGCGGCGGGACAGGTGATCGTTAATGATGGAACACATACGTGCAGCGGTGGGACGGGTGGTCGTTAATGATGCAACGCGTATGTGCAGCGGCGGGGACGGATGGTCGTTAATGATGTAACACGTATGTGCAGCGGCGGGACTGGTGATCGTTAATGATGTAACATGTATGTGCAGCAGCGGGACGGGTGGTCGTTAGTGATGTAACACGTATGTGCAGCGGCGGGACGGGTGGTCGTTAATGATGTTGCATGTATGTGCAGCGGCGGGACAGGTGATCGTTAAATGATGGAACACATACGTGCAGCGGTGGAACGGGTGGTCGTTAATGATGTAACGCGTATGTGCAGCGGCGGGGACGGATGGTCGTTAATGATGTAACACGTATGTGCAGCGGCGGGACGGGTGGTCGTTAGTGATGTAACACGTATGTGCAGCGGCGGGACGGGTGGTCGTTAATGATGTAACACGTATGTGCAGCGGCGGGGACGGATGGTCGTTAATGATGTAACACGTATGTGCAGCGGCGGGACGGGTGGTCGTTAGTGATGTAACACGTATGTGCAGCGGTGGGACGGGTGGTCGTTAATGATGTAACGCGTATGTGCAGCGGCGGGACGGGTGGTCGTTAGTGATGTAACACGTATGTGCAGCGGCGGGACGGGTGGTCGTCAGTGATGTAACACGTATGTGCAGCGGCGGGGGACGGGTGGTCGTTAATGATGTTGCATGTATGTGCAGCGGTGGGACAGGTGATCGTTAATGATGGAACACATACGTGCAGCGGTGGGACGGGTGGTCGTTAATGATGCAACGCGTATGTGTAGCGGCGGGGACGGATGGTCGTTAATGATGTAACACGTATGTGCAGCGGCGGGACTGGTGATCGTTAACGATGTAACATGTATGTGCAGCAGCGGGACGGGTGGTCGTTAGTGATGTAACACGTATGTGCAGCGGCGGGGACGGATGGTCGTTAATGATGTAACACGTATGTGCAGCGGCGGGACGGGTGGTCGTTAGTGATGTAACACGTATGTGCAGTGCAGCGGTGGGACGGGTGGTCGTTTAATGATGTAACGCGTATGTGCAGCGGCGGGACGGGTGGTCGTTAGTGATGTAACACGTATGTGCAGCGGCGCGGGACGGGTGGTCGTCAGTGATGTAACACGTATGTGCAGCGGCGGGACGGGTGGTCGTTAATGATGTTGCATGTATGTGCAGCGGGTGGGACAGGTGATCGTTAATGATGGAACACATACGTGCAGCGGTGGGACGGGTGGTCGTTAATGATGCAACGCGTATGTGTAGCGGCGGGGACGGATGGTCGTTAATGATGTAACACGTATGTGCAGCGGCGGGACTGGTGATCGTTAACGATGTAACATGTATGTGCAGCAGCGGGACGGGTGGTCGTTAGTGATGTAACACGTATGTGCAGCGGCGGGGACGGATGGTCGTTAATGATGTAACACGTATGTGCAGCGGCGGGGACGGATGGTCGTTAGTGATGTAACACGTATGTGCAGCGGCGGGACGGGTTGTCGTTAGTGATGTAACACGTATGTGCAGCGGCGGGACGGGTGGTCGTTAATGATGTTGCATGTATGTGCAGCGGCGGGACAGGTGATCGTTAATGATGGAACACATACGTGCAGCGGTGGAACGGGTGGTCGTTAATGATGTAACGCGTATGTGCAGCGGCGGGGACGGATGGTCGTTAATGATGTAACACGTATGTGCAGCGGCGGGGACGGATGGTCGTTAAATGATGCAACGCATATGTGCAGCGGCGGGGACGGGTGATCGTTAATGATGCAACGCATATGTGCAGCGGCGGGGACGGATGGTCGTTAATGATGTAACACGTATGTGCAGCGGCGGGACGGGTGGTCGTTAGTGATGATGTAACACGTATGTGCAGCGGCGGGACGGGTGGTCGTTAATGATGTAACGCGTATGTGCAGCGGTGGGACAGGTGGTCGTTAATGATGTAACACGTATGTGCAGCGGCGGGACGGGTGGCCATTAATGATGTAACACGTATGTGCAATGGCGGGACATCATTAACGACCACCCGTTACATCACTAACGACCACCCGTCCCGCCGCTGCACATACGTGTTACATTCATAACGATGTAACGCTTATGTGCAGCGGCGGGACGGGTGGTCGTTAATGATGTAACACGTATGTGCAGCTGCGGGACGGGTGGTCGTTAATGATGTAACACGTATGTGCAGCTGCGGGACGGGTGGTCGTTAATGATGTAATGCGTATGTGCAACGTATGGGTACATATGATGGAAAGGGGCACTCTGATAGGGAAATATGATGGAAAGGGGTACTTTGAGTGTAAGGGGGCACTCTGATGGGCACGTTATGTTAAGGGGGCACATATGGGCACATACTATGGAAGGGGCACTCTGATGGGGAAATGTGATGGAAAGAGGTACTTTGAGCTTAAGGGGGCACTCTGACGGCAATACCTGAGGTAAGGTGGCAATATGATGGGGATACCTGATGTAAAAGGACATTCTAATGGCAACACCTAATGTAAGGTGTCACCGTGAGGGGGGAACCTTATATAATGGGAACAACTGATGTAAGGGGGCACACTGATGGGAAACACCAAATGTAAGGGGGTCTTCTGATGCAGAAACCTGATGTATGGGGGCACTCTGCTGGGAATGCCTGATGTATGGGGGCACTCTGTTGGGAATACCTGATGTATGGGGGCACTCTGATGGGAATGCCTGATGTATGGGGGCACTCTGATGGGAATGCCTGATGTATGGGGGCACTCTGCTGGGAATGCCTGATGTATGGGGGCACTCTGCTGGGAATGCCTGATGTATGGGGGCACTCTGATGGGAATGCCTCATGTATGGGGGCACTCTGCTGGGAATGCCTGATGCATGGGGGCACTCTGCTGGGAATGCCTGATGCATGGGGGCACTCTGCTGGGAATGCCTGATGCATGGGGGCACTCTGCTGGGAATGCCTGATGCCTGGGGGCACTCTGATGGGAATGCCTGATGTATGGGGGCACTCTGCTGGGAACGCCTGATGTATGGGGGCACTCTGATGGGAACGCCTGATGTATGGGGGCACTCTGATGGGAACGCCTGATGCATGGGGGCACTCTGCTGGGAACGCCTGATGCATGGGGGCACTCTGCTGGGAATGCCTGATGCATGGGGGCACTCTGATGGGAACGCCTGATGTATGGGGGCACTCTGATGGGAACGCCTGATGTATGGGGGCACTCTGATGGGAACGCCTGATGTATGGGGGCACTCTGCTGGGAACGCCTGATGTATGGGGGCACTCTGCTGGGAATGCCTGATGCATGGGGGCACTCTGATGGGAATGCCTGATGTATGGGGGCACTCTGCTGGGAATGCCTGATGTATGGGGGCACTCTGCTGGGAACGCCTGATGTATGGGGGCACTCTGATGGGAACGCCTGATGTATGGGGGGCACTCTGATGGGAACGCCTGATGTATGGGGGCACTCTGCTGGGGATGCCTGATGCATGGGGGCACTCTGATGGGAACACATTACTTAAGGGGGTGCTCTGATGGGAACGCCTGATATAGGGGGTACTCTGACGGTGGCAACTGATTTATGGGGGAAGCCTGATGGTGGCACCCAATGTAATAAATTACTCTGGAGGGGGAACCTGATGTAATGGGGACATTTATTTTCAGACCTTGGACAGAAGAAGATTTTAGTGACTGGACCTCCTTGAATTTTAATTCGATACCCCGATTTATATGATCACCAAAGGATTGACCTTTTACCTATGTGGCTCTCAGTCCAGGGGCGGACTGACCATTCGAGCACTGCCCGAGGGCCCGGGGTCAGTAGGGGGCCCCATTAAATGCCTCTGGTACCTTTTTTATCTGCTTTTTTGGGTGTGCTTTGAGTGTGGGCAAGGACACAGGGGCCCCGTGATCCCCTATTGCCCGGGGGCCCCATGAGTTGTCAGTCCGCCCCTGTCTCAGTCATAAACAAAAAAACTTGGATTTCACACGCAATACTCCCAGATAAAACTCACCCCATCCGGTTTAAATTCACATTGCGCTGCGTCACCTCCCCCCGCCTTCAGACACCTCGTCTCCATTATTCCGAATCTCAGGATTTGATCCTTTGTTTCCTCCTGGGAGAAGATCTGGAAGATGGAAGGACACATATAGACTTTTCAGACGTCACCCATATGTGGCCCAGAAGCATTGATTAGAATGACATTGGCAATGTTTTCCATTTCCTGAAAGATTTAAAGATCGGGGATCTCTTGATAATGAGCCACGGCCAGGTAGACCAGGAAAGATGGCAGCCACAACGGCCAGAGGAATTGTCCGGGATAAATAGAAAACCCCCCACAGGTGACCTCGGGAGAAATACAGGCTGCTCTGGGAAAAAAACGGTGCGGTTGTTTCAAGGAGCACAATACAATGATACTTGTACAAAAATGAGCTGCATGGTGGAGTTACCAGAAAGAAGCCTTTACTGTGCCAAAAAAGCACGGTTACAATATGACCGAAAACAGCTTGACACGCCTCACAGCTTCTGACACACTGTAATCTGGAGCGATGAAACCAAAATAGAGCTATAAGCGCTATGTTTGGAGAGGGGTCAACAGTGACAAGAATGCCATCCCCACTGTGAAGCATGGTGGTGACTGTAACGTACATGTGACATGCATGTACCGATTCAAGTAGATAAGATGTGCTCAGTAGCAATATGTAATCGTAACCGTAGGGACATTCCATTGTTATTAAAGATGTATTCAGTCAGAGGTACTCAGACAGATGCTCATCAATTAGCGTCTGAAAAGACTTCCAGCTTCCTCTGGATGTGACACCTAAGTGCTAATAAGGTTTGTCACCTTCTGGGGAAACCGGTTTGGAGGAAATGACTGCAGACAGGTTGTCTACCTGACATTGGAAGCTCTAAAAGTATATCCATACATCAAAGAAGTATGTTTCATCCCTCATAAAAGCTAAAATATTAGTTGCAGAGAGATGAAAATACTTCCCTCTGATGGGTCACTCTGTGCGTCACACCGACACCTAAAAACCGTATTTGTGGTTTATGTAGAATGCCAGGAAAAAGCAGGAAATGGTTAGGTGGCTCTGGATTGCGACAGTCGAATAGTGTTTGGTACTGTCGCGATCGGACTGATGCGCTGGTGTTGGAAATCCAATCCCCGACTTGGTGTTTCAAGCTGGCCTTAGTCCGATTGAACTTGGGCAGGTCAACACCCAGAACATCCTGTGGGCGGGTACAGGAACACCCCCCATGGTCAATTGGCCAAAGACTAATGTCCCGCCTACGTCCATATCCCCATAAATGGAGGACCCGGGCATTGGGACATTGTATTTCGTATGGAGCTGGTCGATTGACTAACGGATTACGGACTTTTTCTGACTTGATCCAGTCGCAGGATAGATCTCGGTAAAGTTTTATTTCTGTTTTTTATTCCCTTTTATTTTATAGTGAATAGTCATTTGTGTGTCTTCTTGTATTTTTTGTATTTCTGTAACTTTTTATACTTTGCACATATTTTATGCTCCGCCCACTTCGGGAAATTAAATCTTAAAATTAAGTAGTGACTTCTGTGTATATAAGCTCGGGCTCATATCTCCGGAGAGACTAGATTGGAGAGATTAGATTGGATTGTATCGTATTTTAGTGCCTTTATACGCTCGGTCAAGCTCATTGCCAACCTGTATGCAATTGCACTGTGTGTGGGCAGATTGCATGCAGGTTGTAAAGGTAACAGATCGGCCAGACGGAGATCTGTGTGTGTGGGGTGTCTCAGCAGACCGTTCTGCGGATAAACTGTTGGGTGGTGGCAGGCATCCTTTTGTGGTGTGTCTGGTGCGGGGGGGGGGGGGGTGTGTGGACAGTGGAAGAGTGATTAACTCCGGGGTTCTAGCTGTAGGATAGCTGGAGGGACTCTAGAAGGGGGTAATTACTAAGCTGGTCCTCAACTCTAATCAGTGCACCAGATTGTATGTAAGATTTGTATCTGCCAGTGTGTGGTCGACCAGCTGGATTGGAGTGGAGTCTCCCTCTGGTGGTGGTCAGAGGTAGTGCGGGCTGTGAAAGGGTATCACGGCTGATCTTATATACGGTTTTTATATATTCAAAGTTAAGTCCCCTTTATTCCCTCGTACCCCCAGTCACGGCCGCACGTGCACGCCTCGGTTAGCTAGTCGCTGTGGGCGTGGCGTGTGGGGGACATGTGACAGTGACTCACTAATGTTTTGGGGGGGTGAGCTCTAAGGACACGGGGAATCTTGTGAAAATTGATGACAAGACGAATGCAGCTTGTTATCAGAAAATATCGACAGACAATTTGCATTCTTCTGCAGGAAAGCTGGCCATGGGACGCTCCCGGACTTTCCAGTATGACAATGTCCCCAAGCCAGGGGCGGACTGACAACTCATGGGGCCCCCCGGGCAATAGGGGATCATGGGGCCCCTGTGTCCTTGCCCAAATTCAAAAAAGCCTATGAAAAAGGTACCAGGGGCATCTCATGGGGCCCCCTACTGACCCCGGGCCCTCGGGCAGTGCCCGAGTTTCCAAATGGTCAGTCCACCTCTGCCCCAAGCACAAGGCCAAGCTGACCCTCCAGCAGAAAAAGGTGAAGGTTCCGGAGTGACCATCACAGTCCTCCCCCCGACCCTAAGATCATCGAGCCGCTCTGGGGAGATCTCAAACGTGCGGTTCATGCAAGTCGACCAATGGCTTTGCATGACCTGGAGGCATTTTGACGAGACAAATGGGCGGCTCTACCACCGGCAGGAATTCGGGGGCCTCATAGACAACCATTACAAAAGACGGCATTCCATTGGACTAAAGGGGGCAATAGGAATAGGAACTAAGGGGGTGCAGACTATTGAATCGGGGGCATTTCATCTGGTTTTTTCTTGTTGCCAAGTTCTGTTTTCTGATTGGCCCGTTCTGGTATCACCTCCAGTTACAGAATATGAATCCCATAAGAAATCCAGGAAATGGGTTTTTGTCCTGTTCATTTATGTTTTCTTTACAAAATGGTACATCCTGCAGATTACCAATTCTCCAAGAGGGGGGGGGGGGGGGGCAAACTTTTCAGCCAACTGTGTCTGGACCAGGGGCAGACAGACAACTCGTGGGGCCCCCCGGCAATAGGGGATCATAGGGCCCCTGTGTCCTCGCCCACACTCAAACCACACCCAAAAAAGCCTATGAAAGGTACCAAGGGCACCTAGTGGGGTCCCCTACTGACCCCGGGGCCTCGGTACCCGAATGTTCCCGAATGGTCAGTCCGCCACTGGTCTGGACTATAAAGCAGAGAATCTGGATGGACAGTTGGATAGATGGTTCTACATTTTCTAAACGTTTTTAAGGTATTAACACATTACATGTATAGGAATATTGAAACATTTAAGAATACAAATGTCCTTGAAGCCCCCCATCCCACATGTATTGCCCTTGAAGCCCCCATCTCTCTCCCCCCAACGTATTGCCCTTGTAACTTCCATCTCCCTCCCCCAATGTACTGCCCTTGAAGCCCCTATCCTTCCCCCAATGTATTGCCCTTGAAGCCCCCATCTCCCCTCCCCCAAATGTATTGCCCTTGAAGCTTCAACTTGCTCCCCCTATGTACTGCCCTTGAAGCCCCCATCTTTCCCCCTATATATTGCCCTTGAGGCCCCATCCTTTCCCCATGTATTGCCCTTGAAGCCCCCATCTCCCTCCCCCAACGTATTGCCCTTTTAACTTCCATCTCCCTCCCCCAATGTATTTGCCCTTGAAGCCCCCATCTCCCCCTCCCCCAAATGTATTGCCCCTTGAAGCTTCCAAATTGCTCCCCCTATGTACTGCCCTTGAAGCCCCCATCCTTCCCCCCTATATATTGCCCTTGAAGCCCCATCCTTTCCCCATGTATTGCCTTTGAAGCCCCCATCTCCCCAATCCCCCAATGTATTGCCCTTGAAACTTTCATCTTGCTCCCCTTATGTATTGCCCTTTAAGCTCCCATCCTTCCCCCCATATATTGCCCTTGAAGCCCCCATCTCCCTCCCCCAATGTATTGCCTTTGAAGGTTCCACCATCCCACCTCCCACCCCCCAATGTATTGTCCTTGAAGCTTCCATCTCCCTCCCCCAATGTACTGCCCTTGAAGCCCCCATCCTCCCCCCCCTCCCCCCATATATTGCCATTGAAGCCCCCACCTCCCTCCCCCAATGTATTGCCCTTGGAGCTTCCACCTCCCTCCCCCAATGTATTGCTCTTGAAGGTTCCACCTCCCTCCCCCCCCAATGTATTGCCTTTGAAAGTTCCACCTCCCTCCCCCCAATGTATTGATCCTTGAAGCTTCCATCTCCCTCCCCCCAATGTACTGCCCTTGAAGCCCCCATCCTCCCCCCCCCCCCCATATATTGCCCCCGTTGAAGCCCCCATCTCCCTCCCCCAATGTATTGCCCTTGGAGCTTCCCATCTCCCTCCCCCAATGTATTGCCCTTGAAGCCCCCGAACCTCCCCACCCCATCTACTGCCTGCACAGTGAAGCCCCCATCTCCCCTCCCCCATGTATCTCGCGAGAGTGCCTTGGTACTTCACCTGTATAGGTATGGCTGGAAGGTCCACCAGGGGTTTATAGAAATAGAGGAGCAACCATCCTCCCCTCTGGTTGTAGAGATCCCGGGCCTCTGTGATCCGTCCTTCCTGATCCGAAGACTGAGAGTGAGCCAATGTGACTGAGATAGGAGAATGCCATAGCCACACAACTGCCAGACCCCCATCTTGTACCCCCGTAATAGCTGATTTATGTGTCTGATTCCCTCTCTATTCATCCTCCGCACCTCCAGCTTCCTCTCTTTTTGTTTTGTTTTTTTAGAATTCTCTTGCGGAATCTTTTTATAACGTTTATTGCTCCATTAATAACACAACAAACATCTTTCACAAAACTTTGTTCCTGAAAAAGAAAAACACCCGGCCATCATTTAAAGTAGCACTCCCAACCACGCGAACAAAATGAAATCCGTACTAGCAATGGTTCTTTATCCTTGAGGCCAGAGGATTGTCACCCTTCGGTGTGAGGGTGTTCTTAGAGGGATTTCCTTTCACTTTCTGTTGTGTCTACAGGACATGAAGTGAAGGGAAATCTCCCTATTAGGGATACAGATGGACAGTAATGGAGGCCACTGGGATGGACTGTCCCCCCCCCCCACCACCACCACCACCACCACAGATGGGAGAGGAGAGAGAAAGCTGGTTCTGCCCCTCCTCCCTCCTGTGTCTGCCCCGCCAGCCTTGTGTCTTCTCTCCCCCATACCCTCCCTCCCTCACATCCCCTTCTCTCTCTATCTCCCCCCTCATCTCTCTCTTTCTCTCTCTCTCCCCCCTCCCTCTCTTCCCCTCTCTCTCCCCTCTCTCTCTCTCTCTCTCTTCTTCCCCCCTCTCTCTCTCTCCCCTCTCTTGCTCCCTCCCTCCTTTCTCTCTCTCTCCCCCCCTCCTCTCTCTCTTCCTCCCCCCCTCTCTCCCCCCCCTCTCTCTCTCCCCCCTCCCTCTCCCTTTCTCGCTCCTCCCCCCTCTTTTCTCTCCCCTCCCTCTTCTCTGCTCCCTCCGTCTTTCTCTCCCCCCTCCTCTCTCTCTTCCTCCCCCCTCTCTCTCTCCCCTCTCTCTCTCTTCCTCCTCCTCTCTCTCCCCCCTCTCTCTCTTCCCTCCCCCCTCTTTCCCTCTCTCTCTCTCTCTCACCCCCCTCTCCTCTCCCCCCTCTCTCCCCTCCCCCTTCCCCCTCACTCTCCCCTCTCTCTCCCCCCTCTCTCTCCCCCCCTCTCTCCTCCCCCCCCTCTCTCCTCACTCTCTCCCTCTCCCCCCCCCTCTCTTCCTCTCTCTCTCCCCCCCCTCCTCTCTTCCTCTCTCTCCTCCCCCCTCTCTTCCTCTCTCTCGTCCCCCCGCTCTTTTTCTCTCCCCACCTCTCTCCTTCCTCTCCCCCTCTCTCCCCCCTCTCTCCCTCTCTCTCCCCTCTCTCTTCCCCCCCTCTCTCTCCCCTCTCTCTTCCCCCCTCTTCTTCCCCCCCCTCGCTCCCTCTCTCTCCCCTCTTTTTCCCCCCCTCTCCCTCCCCTCTCTCCCTCCCCCCCTCTCTCCCCTCTCTCCCTCCTTCTCCCCCCTCTCTCATCTCCCCTCTCTCCCCCCTGCCTCCCCCTCTCTCTCCCCCCTCCTCCCCCCTCTCCTCCCCTCTCTTCCCTCTTCCTCCCCCCCTCTCTCTCCCCTCTCTCCCTCTTTCCTCCCCCTCTCTCCCCGCTCCCCCTCTCTCCCTCCCCCTCTCGACCCCCCCCCTTCGCTCCCCCTCTCCCCCCTCTCTCTCTTCCTCTCCCCCCCTCTCTCTCTTCCACCCCCTTCTCTCTCCTCCCCCCCACCCTCTCCTCCTTACGAGTCTCCTTCCCTCCCCCCTCTGTCCCCCTCTCTCTCCCTCTTCTCTTCCCCTCTCTCCCTCCCTCTCTCTTCCCCCCCTCTCTCCCACCCTCTCCTCCCCTCTCTCTCCCTCTCTCTTCCTCCCCCCTCTCTCCTCTCTCTTCCCCCCTCTCTCTCCCACTCTTCTCCCCCCTCCCTCCCTCTCTTCCTCCTCCCCCCTCTCTCCCTCCCTCCCCTCTCCCCCCCCTCTCTCTCACCTCCCTTTCCCCCCTCTCTCCCTCTCTCCCACCCTCTCACCCCCCCTTATATCCCCCATCTCTCTCTCGTCCCAGACCCTCTCCCCCTCTCTTCTTCCTCTCCCCCATCTCTCTTGAATCTCCCCCCACCACCTCTCTCTCTCTACTCTCCCCCTCTCTCTTCCTCTCCCCCACCCCCCCTCTCTTCCTCCTCTGTCCCATTCCTCCCATCTCTCTCTGTCTTCCCCCCTCTCTTCCTCCCCTCTCTCACCCTCTCTCTCTCTTCCCCCCCCTCTCCAATCTCCCCTCTCTTCCTCTCTTCCTCCCCCTCTCCCCTCGCTCTTCCTGCTCCCCTCTCTCTCTTCCTCCCCCCTCTCTCTCCCTCCCTCTCTTCCCCTCTTCTCTTCATCCCCCTCTCTCTTATCCTCCCCCTCTTATCTCCCTCTCCCTCGTCTCTTCCTCCCCCTCACTCTCTCCCTCCTCCCCCTCTCTCTCTAAGCCTCTCCCTCACTACTCCCTCCCCCTCTCATCTCTCCCCCCTCTCCCCTCCCTCCCCTCTCTCGCTTTTCCTCCCCCCTCTATCTCCCCCCTCTCTCTCTCGTCCTTCCCCCCTCTCTCTCCCTCCCTCCCTCCTCTCTCTCTGATCTCCTTTCCTCCCCTTCCCCCCCATCTTCCTATCCCCCTCTTTCTCTCTTCCTCCCCCTCTCCTCTCCCTCTCTCTCCCCCCTCTCTCTTCTCCCCCCCTCTCTCTCTCCCCCTCTCTAAACCCCCTCTCATCACCTCTCTCTCTCTCCCCCTCTCTCTCAACCTCTCATCCCTCTCCTCTCTCTCTCCCCTCTCTCCCTCTCCCCCTCTCTCCCTCTTTCCTCCCCTCTTTCTCCCTCTTCCTCCCCTCCTCTCTCCCTCCTCCCCACTCTCTATTCCCCCCCTCTCTCTCTCCCTCTCCCCTCTCTCTCTCCCTCTCCCCCCTTCTCTCTCTCCCTCCCCCCTCTCTCTCCCCCTCCCCCCTCTCTCTCCCTTTCCCCCCTCTCTCTCTCCCTCTCCCTCTCTCTTCCTTCCCCTCTCTCTTCCTCCCCCCTTCTCTCTTCCTTCCCCTCTCTCTTCCTTCCCCTCTCTCTCTCCCCTCTCTCTCTCTCCCCCCTCTCCGTCCTCTCCTATCTCTCTCTCTCTCTCTTCCCTCCCCCCCTCTCTCTCCTCTCTCTCTCTTCCTCCCCCCTCTCTCCTCTCTCTCTTTCTCCAAGGAAAGGGTCCCTGGGCTTGGGGCAGCTCAGTCTAAAATGCCCGGGCCTATTTTTTTTTTTGCCCCAGTCCTGGCCTGGGGAGAGGATTTGTCCCAGGATGGAAAATTGGAGGGGAATGAGAATGTGTGCTGGAGGGGGAAGTAGAACTACAGGTGAAGTTTTATTTTTTTCTTTTGTGGGGGGGTACAAGTAGCTGGTCTTGCCTAGGGCACAGAATATTCTATCACCGGCCCTGATCCCGACCCCGACCACACAGATTTCAGAAACTCCAGCATCACTTAGTTGATGTACGGGGCGCACTCTACTGATCAGCACCTTTTCTTCCTCTTGGCACACAATTCCGTCCTCCCACATTGATTGTTCAGTATGTCCTGCTAGTCCATCCTCAGTGCTCTGTTGTGACATCTTGTGGTCAGACTACGCGCCCATCTTTTCGATCCCCACTTTGTCAGATCTTAGTAGGCAGGCGTGGCCTTGGAAAGGAGGCGGGTACAAGGCACAATGAGTGGCTGGTGTGCAATGGTGAGCTAATGAGACCAGCACAAATCGCACATATTCCGAGACTGAAGAATCTCTGAGTGAACAGATAAGGAGCACAGGGGGGGGCGCAATCTGAGTGTAGTACATGACATGTTTACTGGGGTTATAGACAATTGTCAGCTCACGTGTAGCAGCTAAAACATAGGCTCAGCGACATCACGGGGGCCTCTGGTGGAGAACCTCAGCACAGCAGGGTGCCACGGTCTAGAGCAGGGGTGGGCAAACTTTTTGACTTGAGGGCCGCAATGGGTTCATATATTGGACCCGGGGGCCGGACCAAGAGTAGATGAATGATGTGTATGTGTCATCCATAGTAAGTATAGTAATATTCCCCCATAGTAAGCATAGTAATTAATCCCCCATATAGTAATTCATCCCCCATATAGTAATTCATCCCCCATATAGTAATTCATCCCCCCTATAGTAATTCATCCCCCATATAGTAATTCATCCCCCATAGTAATTCATCCCCCCCTATAGTAATTCATCCCCCATAGTAATTCATCCCCCATAGTAATTCATCCCCCCTATAGTAATTCATCCCCCCTATAGTAATTCATCCCCCCTATAGTAATTCATCCCCCATAGTAATTCATTCCCCATATTAATTCATCCCCCCATATAGTAATTCATCCCTCATATAGTAATTCATCCCCCCTATAGTAATTCATCCCCCATATAGTAATTCATTCCCCATATTAAGTCCCCAAGTCCCCCCTGTGTCAATTCACTTACCTTTGCTCCGCACGTTCCTCTCGCCGTGTTCCCGCGCCGTTCCGGTGTAGCATGAAAATCTGTCTCCTATGAGGATCTGTCCCCCTCGACGTATCTGCGCATGTGCCAGTTTCAGGCATTAGCAGCCGATCGGCGATCTCCGGCACATGCGCAGATACGTCGAGGGGACAGATCCTCATAGGAGACAGATTTTCATGCTACACCGGTCTCCTGACAGACATCCTGACAGTATCACGCTCCACGGGCCGGATTAAAAGGTCCGCCGGGCCGTAGTTTGCCCATTGCTGGTCTAGAGGGAATACTGGTAGATCAGGGGGAGAAGTGTAGGGCAGAGAAAACATCAGAGGGCGCCAGACTAAGTGCAGTAGTATATAATGATGGCAGGGCTCCCCACCAGGGGCGGACTGACCATTTGGGAACTCGGGCATTGCCCGAGGGCCCAGGGTTAGTAGGGGACCCCATGAGATGCCCCTGGTACCTTTCATAGGCTTTTTTGGGTGTGGTTTGAGTGTGGGCGAGGACACGGGCCCCATGATCCCCTATTTCCCGGGGGCCCCATGAGTTGTCACTCCGCCCCTGCTCCCCACATGCATGAGCCCATCTCTAACTGGATATAGATGAAAAACGCCAT